CTAAAAATCCTAAAGCCTAAACCCTAAACCCTATATCTATAGAGATCCTTAACCTTAAACCCTAAGCCCCAGATCCTCAAGCCTAAGCCCTATAAATCCTGGATCCTCACGCCTAAACCCTAGATTCCTCAAGCCTAAACCCTAAACCCTAAAGCCTAGAACCGCCTTTTTATTTCAGGTGATGCAGCAGCAGGTCCAGGTCCCTTCCAAGGAGAAGTGCCGCGTTCAGCAGCCCCCCGGACCCTGCTTTGTCTGGGGTTTAGTGTTTAGGGTTTGTTGGTTTAGGGTTTGGGGTTTTAGGGTTTAGGGTGCTTTGGGGTTTAGGGTTTGGGAGTTTAGGAGTTAGGGTCTGGGAGTTTAGGAGTTAGGGTCTGGGAGTTCAGGTGGCGCTACCAGGGTTCCTTTTTTGGGTTACTTTAAGACTTCCTTTAAGGGTTCGCAAGGGCAAGGGTGCCCTTCAAGGCTCGATAACGGTAGTTTAAACTGTGCTACTGGTATGTGAGTTTAGGGTTTGGATGTTCGCCACCCTTGAAGCCTTGAAGCCTTGCACCCTTAAACTTGGGAGACGATCAACTCGACTACTGTGGCGGCCTTTCAGCGTCTTTCGGAGCGTTTGGGTTACCACGGACTCCAACATCCCTTAATTGCGGAATGCTATTGCGCAAATTTAACGAGCAGGATCAGCAACACGCCTTGCGGTCGCAATTTGTTGAATGTATATAGCTTACCATCGCAGGAATGTCTAATCAAGAACAGGCGCCCCATGTGCATGATGATCTGGTGGTGCTTCTTGTGGTAACGTGCACAGGTTACCGTTTTCTTGGTGTCAAGGACGAACGAACACTGACACCTCGTTTCGTTCATTTCTGCGCAGCATTAATCAAGAGCATCCATGCAAGTATAATTTCGCATCAAAAAGACTTCGAGCACTATATGGAATGCGCAGCAGAACTCACCCGTCAACCTCAAACCCCTAAACCTTGAGCCCTAAACCAAATCCCTCGACTCTGAAGCCCCAAACCGCTATAAAGGCCTAAATAAACCCTAAACCCCTATACAAAAAAAAACCTAAATAAACCCTAAACCCCTAAAAAAGCCTAAACCCTAAGCCCCCTTTGAGAGCAAGGAATCGCCTGGCGATCAGCATCGAGCGGGGAATGTCTGCAGGCGACACCATGATCTTCAAGCATCAGGGAGAGCAGCTCCTGGAACTGCAAGGTTCAGGATTTAGGGTTTGGGGTTTAGGGGTTCTGGGTTTAGGGTTTAGGGTTCAGGGTTTAGGGTTCTGGGGTTTAGGGTTCTGGGGTTTAGGGTTCAGGGTTTGGGGTTTAGGATTTAGGGTTCAGGGTGTGCAGGATTAAGCCTCAAAGGATTTAGTGCGCAGGAATTGGGGGATTAGGGTGTGTGTCATTAGGATTTGCGGCTTCGTGTACAGGACTTTGGGGATTTGGGTGTTGGGTTTCAGGGTTTAGGGCATTGTTTTTGTTGAGGCTGACGGTGTCGGTTCTTAGGGAGTGATTAATATCAGGGCCTAAATAATTGCCAATATATATTTTTTTTGGGGGGGGGTTCGGTAGTATACACATAGTATAATGGGCCCAAAAGACCCTATTCAAACTATGAAGGCCCCTATACTAGGCATCGCTTTTGGGGTTTTAGTGAGAGTGGTCGTGGCTTGGTTCTGGCTGCTTGAGTAATATGGGAATCTAGTTATGAAACCTCGTGGCTTTCCCTAAACACGTAACCCTGAAAGGTGCTGTCCATGGGGCATGTGAGCTAGACCACGGGTTTCTGCAGCTATCGGCTTGAGGTTTCCGGGGGTTGGTCGCATCGGCTTCTTGGGTGTTCAGTGTATATAGGGCACTATAGGGTTGGGGTTTAGGGCTAAGGGTCTAAATTAGGGTCCAGGGTTTAGGGTTTAGGGTCTAAAGTAGGGTCCAGGGTTTAGGGTTTAGGGTCTAAATTAGGGTCCAGGGTTTAGGGTTTAGGGTCTAAATTAGGGTCAGGGTTTAGGGTTTAGGGTCTAAAGTAGGGTCCGGGGTTTAGGGTTTACGGTCCAAATTAGGGTCCAGGGTATTGATGCCTTTCAGGGAGTATACTAGGGAAGGGGGGGGGGGTCGACTTTTCGGGCTGAGGGTGTCAAGTAGAGGGTTCAGGGCTTACAGCCAGCTCGTCATCAACACCGCTCCTGAGCATCCCTTCGCGGTGCACCGAGACCTCCGGGACCTAAAGCTCGAAATTCGGTGGTGGTCAGAAGTAGGCATTGCTGGGCGCTCCTGTTTTCACATGAAGGTAGGGCTTAGGGATTGGATTGAATTAGCAAAACCTAACCTGCTGTTCTGTCGGGTCCCTATAAATTCGATAGTAGGAGGTGCTTTTTTAGAGCCGACAAAAAGCTCTGGTGGTTTCTTGTGGGGCTTTGGGTGGGATGAACCGAGGCAGCCAAAGAAGATCCCTGGAGATGTCGTCGTGAAGCTGAAGGAAGTACGGTTCCTTGGCATTGGGGTGTTCATTGGGGTGTTCAGTGCTTCGAGACCTATGGGGTTGAACTACCTATTACAGGCTCCATTGTAGTTCCTTTCGTGGTTTCTAGAAGGTACTCCCAAAAAGGAACTACTATGGAGCCTATGGGTAGGGGCTTAGGATTTAGGGTTTAGGGTTTCGGTTCCTTGGCTTTCGGGTGTTCAGAGCCTCGGGCTCGTGGCTCGCGGTTTCAGGAGTTACATGGCTCAGGGTTTTAGGGCTCAAGATGTAGGGTCAGGGTTTAGGGTTCAGGGTTTTAGGGTGTACGGCTTTAAGGGGCGTTAGGCTTATAGTTCACGGCTGAGGGCCCTGGGTCAAGGCCTGTCTCGACTCGACAGCCGGCCTTGGAGGCTCAACATGTGGAGCTCGATAGCCTTCCCCAAGTGAGCCACCACACGCCAGAAGCCAGCAGGGTCTTCGCAAACTCTACCAATAAAAAGCCCTTACTTGGGGCTTCCATATTGCAGCGCGGATATTTGATTTTCAGTTTTTGGAGCAATCTGTGAGGACTGCTTTGATTGTAAAGGCTCAAGCCCTACACCCAAAACCCCTAAACAATCATCCCTCTGAAGCATAATTGGTCCCCATCAACCCAGTTTCCCAAGACCCCGATAAGCCCCACTTGCTTGGCTTTGAGGGGAACCCTGAAGACTGTTGCACTTAGAGTTCCGGTTTTGAACTTCGCAAGGGTTTCATTAGGGTTGTTCCATGTCCTGTACGACTTACTCTTACAGGTTTTGGGTTCGTCGTCAAGCCTCTTCAACACACACGTTTGACGGCTGAGGCTTTACGAAAGTTGTTTGGGTTACGGCCCCATATGTACTTCTTGAGGGGAGTAGAAGACCCGTAAACCTTCCCCACCCTAAAAATCGCGAAGCTCGACAACCCCGAGTGTACCGGCAAAAGCCGCCTCCAAACCCTGGCCGTAGCCCACCCAAGCCCTAAACCACACTACACCCTAAGCCCTAAACCCTGAACCCTAAGCCTTAGCACTAAAACCCATACCTTGACGCCAAGCCCCTCATGCTGGAGCCCTAAACCCAAGCCCCAAGCCATACATCAAAACCTACTAACACCCCACAACCCCCATGAAAGAAACCCGAACAGCCAAAGCCCCGAATCCTACACTCTCAGCCTGAAGTCTTCAGCCTTTGGCATCCCACAGAACAGCCGTAAGCCCTGATTGAGGCATCCGACGTTTCGGCGAGCGGGTGCCGACCTTCACACCGATGTCCTTCGGAAGGATTGGTTTCAAGTGCGATGCATGTATATGTCAATCTGTTTGTCCGTCCGTCTTGTTTGTGCACGTAAGGTCGCTTGGTTGCTTGGCTGGTTCCTTGGTTACTTGGTTGGTTGCTTGGTTGGTTGCTTGGTTGTTTGGTTGGTTGGTTGGTTGGTTGGTTGCTTGGTTGGTTGGGTGGCTGGTGTTGGCTGCTTTACTGCTTGGCTGCTTGCCGGTTGCCTGCTTGGCTTGCTGGAAGGCTGGTTGGCCGGCAAGTCGTGTTTTGTATTTGGCATTGCTTTGTTGTTTTTGTTTGTATGTGTGTCTGTGTGCGTGCGTGCATGTTCGTTTGTGTGTGTGTGTGGATTGTTTGTGCGTCGTGTTGTGTCGCGTGTTCGTTATCTAGTTCGTTCGTTCGTTCGCTGACTGGCTGGCTGGCTGGCTGGCTGGCTTGCTTGTTTCTTTGAGTGTTTGTTTGGGTGTGTACCCGTATTTGTGTTTCTGTTGACACTCCTCCTCAGGTTAACGTCACGCTGAAGGAGGCCGCTGCAGAAGGGAAGGGTGGGTCTAATGTATATACCGGCATACATGAATGCCTGCATGATGGATATAACATACGGTGCAATACATTATGTTACAGTGGATCCTAATTATCAAACGGCTTAACCAACAAAAGGAACTACAGTGGGCGCTAATCCTGATAAACCCATGTGCTCATATACACCTTGGCCTTATAAAGTCGTCCCCAAAAAGGCGCATTGAGGTCCGAATATATACTAAAAGGGTGCATGGATCACCGGGGAGAGGTACCTGCCACAAAGGCCGTTGGCCTCGGCTTGGCTTCGAACGCATATCGGAGAAGACAAAGATGCAAATCAGACACCTTTAGAGGCAGTCTTCTTGAGTTAGGGCACCAGGACTAGGTGGTAAAGGCTCCCTTTAAGCTGCTACAGCGAGCGAGCGAGAGAGAGCGAGAGAGAGAGTCATCCTACTGGCAATTTGAGGTTTGATGACATGGTTTGAAAGACTCCAACCCTTATAGTACCCTTTATATAGTACCCTTATAGTACCCCTTCATCGGTTTCCTTTCCTGTGTGTTGCAGCATGCTAGCCACACAGATTGAACCCCTATAAAAACCTAAATCCTGAACCCTTAATATATTATTACTTTTGTTAATTAGCTATTACGTACTATTGTTGTTATTGACTCTTCGTTGATCTTTCTAGCCATTGTGGCTTACCTTCACGCTGACCGATGCGATCCGTGTTTCGCCGAGCTGCATCTTCGGGGCTCTTGAAGAACATGCAGGTTGTGTCCGAGACGAGTGTGCCGGGCTCCTACGCAGGCTACGGGGGACCGCGCATCTTGTCGCCACTGTCCGTCACACCATCATGCTCCCCGAAGAGAGCGAAGGTGGCTGAGACGCGAAAAGCGTCTTCTTCGACGCAGACAACACTGGTGGGAAGGACGCTTGCAGATTGGGTTGTGTCGGAAAGTGCTGAGCACCAGGCCCTTCTTGTCGAGAGACAGCCTTGGTGGAAGGACTTTCAGGAGGCATTAGATCAAGGCGTCCAGCAGGGAGACATCAGGGAGGAGGAGGAGGAGGAGATCAAGATCGAATTCAAGCGCGGCGGCGACCTCGCAGACGCAGCAGAGAAGCTCTTGAATAAGGTGAGGGTCAGGCTTCCTGAGGATCTACGCAGCACCATCCGCGGTGATGTGCTTGATATCGGCAATGTGGTGACCCATTTGTGTCCTTGGAGCAACACTCTTCTTATCAAGCTTGAAGTCATGGGGGAAAGCGCCTGTAGCAGGTGGCACCGCGACAACTACTGCGCGAGGGCCATCGTTACGTACAACTCGTCCGGCACCGTCTATGCACCAGACGACATCGTGAACTTCTGGGAGCTGGACTACTGTGGCTGCAATGACAAAATCATCAAGGATGCATCCCAAGTCTGCAGCGTTGGGGTAGGCGATGTCTTCTTCATGAAGGGCCTCTTGGACTTGCACGACCCTAAACCCTAAACCCCTAAACCCCTAAAACCCCTAGACCCCTAAACCCCTAAACCCCTAGAGCCCTAAACCCTAAACCCCTAGACCCCTAAACCCCTAAACCCCTAACCCCCAAAGGCTTCTAGAGAACGATTCCATAACATTCCTCTTGCATCCTTTCGCCCTTCACCTGCCCGAGCCCCGGCCTGCACCCGCAACCGCCGTAACCCTGAACCCTATAGAGGCCCCTAAACCCTCTTATGGGGTTTAGGGTTTAAGGTTTAGGGTGTATAGGGTTTATGCTTAGGGCTTATAATAGGGATTAGGGGTTAAGGTACAGGGTGTAGGGTTTAGGATTTAGGGTTTAGTGCTTAGGGTTTAGGGTTTAGGGACCCTGGCTTCGTGTTTTGATCCGTACATGCCATGCTCCCAGCCGCTGACTCAGCTCTACCCTCGCAAACTCTACCTTACCATGCTGGAACCTGCTTTCCGCAGGGCTCAACGGGTAGTTTATGTATGCACCTACACATTACATGCACACATACATGCATGGACATTCTCGGAACCCTGCACGAAACGAAAAAAAGCGGTCTCTTGCAGTCCTAAACCCTCAGCCCTATTCCAAGGCAAAAAGTTCCCTCATGGTCCGAAGGGCTTGGTCCACAAGTCGCCCGAGATTCGGCGCCACGACGACGGCCGGGTGGTGAAGCTTGGTTCTGTCTCGTTTGGGCTTAGGATTTAGGCTTTCCCACGATTGTGTCTACCTCTCAGCCTGCTGGTTCGCAGCAGGATTTATAGTAACTCGTATGGCAACCGGTACAGTTCCCTCATAGTAACTTTGTTGGTGCTAGGGTACTCCGCCACGATGTCATCTTAGTCGTGAGTTTCAGGAGGTTCTGGGGCCTTTCATGTAATGCAGAAGCCTGAAGAGTTCATGAGCTGATGATACTTGTTCTTCACAGTTCCGCATAAGAGCACAGTGTGACAAGCCCCTAAGCCTCATTCACAGGTTTTAGGGTGTTAGGGTTTAGGGTTTTAGGGTTTAGGTTTTAGGGTTTTAGGGTATAATAGGGTTTAGGGTTTAGCTGAAGCTTTCAGTGTCTTTCGGGAGTGTGTTTCGGTTAGCTTGCAGCGGAGGAACCGCTTGGTGCTGAAGGTGGACGTTCCGTAGCTTCATGCCACGGTCGCCGGCAGCCCATGGAAAGGAAATCTGAAGGATTTCAGAAGTCTCCTTGTGCCCTCGGGTTGAAAATGGTCCACTATGATCTCGAATAGCAGGTATTTCGGGAGTAGCTACCTAGTCAGGGGTAAGCCTTTTAGCGACCCTTTCTACCAACCCCTTTACTAGCAAATTATAGTAACCCTTACTGCCGACTTGTCGTAACCTTTATAGAAGAACCGAGGGTAGATGGAAGATCGGCAGATCGACCTTGAGCTACCATGAACTACTTTTTTGTAGGTTCTTAATATAAACCCTAGTATAGACTTTATAGGAACCCTACAAAAAAGTAGGTTTTGGTAGCTCAAGGTAGGTGTTTGGGCACGAATTTGTTTTGCAAGACTCCGCCTGCACGGACCGTCAGCCAATGTCTGGCGTGACCCGTGCCCAAGAGGCGCTGTAGGGGTGGATCTCTTTTCTCACGGTGGCACACTTCTTATTCCCGAAGGGTCCTATATGTACCTATATTGGGGGGGATACTGCCCAGATTATAGAAACTATAGAAACCCTATGTTCTACCATACTCAGGACCCTTTGGGATTAGCCCTGGATGCTCCTAGAGTTCCAACAGGAACCCTGTGCCTGGAAGTGTGCCCGGCGCAAATCTGCGCAGGAGGACAGAATTCAGAAGGCCTGCGCAGAACATTTGATTCGTTCTGCAGTTCGCGGTGCAGAAAATGCAAGAGCTGAAGAGTTTTATATGTAGTATGTGGCGCACATGCAGAACCGAGAATGATTCCCCGAAGACTCTAGCTACCGTGTTGAAAGCATGCTGGTGTCGGCTGCGCAGTGCTTCCGGACTGTAGGCCAGTAGGCGATTACTTGAATCAGCGACAGCTGCTTGATCTTCTACGCTCTGTATTTGCAGCTTCTATTGGTGCTGTTGCCGCTGTTTTGCATTGTTGCTGCCAGACCGAAGTACGCACAAGGTTGCTGATAGATGCTCGCTGCAGCCCGCCAGCACTATCTACAAAAAACAAACAAATAGTTACATATATATATATACATATGGACACATATATGTACGAGTATGTACTATACTTGGTTCATGTGTTGATTTAACTTTATCCCAACATGGCCAGGCTATAGCCGAGCATGTACTGCTGTGACACGAGGTCAGGGAAGACCCTGTTCTCCTCTCAGAAGGCCATTACTTTGGGGCCCTATACTACAAAAGGATACTTTTATTGGGGAGTTGTCTCAAGTAGGGTCCCTTTTCAGGTCCCCGAAATAGTACGGCACACTTATAAAAGGGATCCCACTGTAAAAAACGACCCTCATACGAGGAACCCCCATTAATGGATCTCATCCCTAAGCCCTAAACCCTAAACCCTAAACCTTACACCCTAAGCCCTAAACCCGAAACCCTAAACCTTACACC